AATAATAATAATAATAATAAGAATAATAATAATAATAATAATAATAATATAATAATAATAATAATATAATAATAATAATAATAATAATACTAAAATAATATAATAATAATAATAATGTCTTTAATCCCTCCACACTGCGAGGCCAGCTGGCTACTCTACCACGTAACCTCACAGCTCAGGAGCACATACAAAAGGAAAAACATAACAATGAATAGCACTCGACTAAATAATATATACAATAATTAAGCTTAAATAGATTAATCTTAATATGTTGTACATCTATTCCACATAGCCCGCTCTAACAAAAAAAAACAATAAAGACAAAAAAATATATCACAGCCTGCTTGGCTAGGAGACCCCAGAAGGTGGTTCTTAATGGCTCTCTGAAGCAAGTATTCCCATCTTTTGTAATTGTCAAAAATACTATTGTACACCTTGACAGCGTTGTATGGTGAAGCTACGATGGAAAATGTTGCTCCTATAACTAGGTATATGGAAGTCAAGAGTTATGTCTCAGATTCCTGTAATTGAGATCCCCACGTGGTACCAGCCTTTTTAGTAGATAAGTAGGTAGCCTATTGATTTTTATTCGTTGTATTAAAATTAGTAAGTTATATGTGAATAGCTGGTCAACCTCAACCATCTAAGCTCATTGATCTTCTTAGATACATGGCTAAACTTTCGCAGACCACCAACGAACCTCACAGCAGCTATTTTGAATTGTTTGTACTCGATATCTAGTCACGTAATCAAGACAAGGAAAGTAAACAGCAATTGAATAATTTATTAACGATAGAACCAGAGTCTCAGCCAGTTTTTTGCGAGTCTTGAAATTCAGAATATGGCGTTTGGTGTATAATAACTTCAAACGCCTGTATGTTAAGCGAGATAAATGCATAACATGTGGTTTAACCTCAAATCTGAATCCATGGTGATCCCTAAGTACTTCGCATGGTCTACTATAGGAATATGGGTTTCGTTAAGACTAGGAACAATTGTGCCATCTAACCGTTGTACTAACTGTTTTGGGCCAAATATACGTAGCATAGTAGAACATTTTGAAGCATTGATCTTCAGACAATGTCTTTTGCAGTACTCTTCAATTTTATCTAGATCTAAGTTCAATTTATATGAGGCTTCATGCATGTCCGAAGAATCAAAAGACAGAGTTAGCTGCGTGTCATCTACATACGTTTGAATATTATAGTGCTGAAGGCAAGTATGTAGATCAAAAGTATAAACTAAATAGAGTAATGGTCCCAACACAGAGGCTTGAGGTCCGCCAGATGCCACACTATTTGCCGAAGAAAATCCCTTACGTGTTTTCACCTTCTGGGTACGATTGCAACAAATACGAATCGAAGAAACGTAGTGGCTTGTCAGAAAGACCATAAAATTGAGCTTACTCAAGAGAATACCATGATGTACCATATCAAAGGCCTTAGAGAAGTCTAGCAGAATCAGAGCTGTTCCTATCTGATCATCTACATTTTTGATGATATCATCCGTAATGTTTAATAAAGCGATTGTTGTGCTATGCCCTGTACGGAAACCAGACTGATATTGAGGAATCATATTGTTTTGTTTAAAATAGTGGGCCAGCTGTATGTAGACAATTTTCTCTAAAACCTTCGACAAAAAGCACAACATGCTCATGAGCCGTAGGTGAGAATACTCAGAGGGGCTGTTTATCTTCGCCAAAGGCAAAACGATAGCTTCCTTCCAGCAGCTTGGGAAAATCCCTGTCTCTAAGGAAACATTTATAATATGAGTAATGTGATTCAAAATTTCTGGTAAGCAGAGATTTACCATTTTACGACTAAGTCCATCACAACCCGATGTTTCTGACTTATAGAAGTTAAAACATCCAGCACTCCATGCTGGTCAACGTAGCGAAAAGTAAATGAAGGATCATTAGTGCAGAAGGAGCTATTATCATATTTATGAATTGTAGACTCAATTAGCCTCGAGTTCATATTAGCAGCAAGTGAGTTCAATAAAAAGTAATCATTCAGAGAGTCAGGTTCGAGTAGGTCATCTGGAATTTCAGTTTTCTTCCGTCGACAGATACTCATATCTTCAAGGGTTTTCCAAGCTTGCTGCGTATTCAAGTTATCAATGTGTGATAGGTAAGCCTTTTTTCCCTCCTTATTGACGCTAAAGCGTAATTTCTTAGTTCCTTGTAGTAAATCCAGTTTTCTTGATTGGGAGTACGTCGGAAAGTTATTATGGCAGTATCCCTCTGTTTAAGTATAAGTTTTACTGTAGCTGTTAACCAGGGTGCGGCTCTTTTGTTGACGCGAGCAACTCTGACAGGCGCATAGGCATCAAATAAAATAGTGAGTGATTCCGTTAAAATACATACTTTTTGTTCTGTATCTTTGACATAAAAAATTCTATCCAAATTCATTCGGGTTAAATCAGTCTTAAAGCTGACTATGTCAATGTTTTTAAGATCTCTATAGGTGATAAATCGCAGTAGGGGTTTCTTAATTACAACACAGAATTCGCAAAAAACCAACTTATGGTCAGAAATAATATCTGCATTAACTACACCAGCTTTTGAAACAGTGTCTGAGTTATTGACGAAAATTGGATCAATGAGAGAAGATCTCATTTGGGTTACCCTAGTAGGCTCGTCAATGACCTGCGCAATGGTGTAACAATCAAAACATGCACTAAGTGGGTTACCTGGGTTGAGCAGAGCAACATTCATATCACCTGATACTATGATATATTGTCGTGCTGAGGGCTGAAAATAATAGGAGCTTATCCAAAATGCTAATGCTATCGTTTATAGAGCAATTATATTTCGTAGTGCCGTTCTCGAATTACAAAGTAACCACTTGTAGTAGCAATTTTTCCCGCTCGCACCAGTACGAAGTTCAAAGCAAAATATGCTCCCCGCCCCTGCCCATACCCGGCATAGACC